CTTCATTAAGACTTGGCCGTTGGTAATGAGAACTTTGCAACCAAACTTAAGCAAGAAGTGTCAGTCAAACTTAAAGGTGTGGGAAACCAAATACAGTTCAATGTCAATTGTGACAATATGGCCGATCTTGTTAAGCTTCAGAAGCGTATTCCTGATGAAGATGCAACATGTCTCAAATTGGTATCTGGTGCTATCATCAAAGTTAAGAAGCGCAATAAGCTCATCCGCATTGCAGACAAATCTCCCACAGTCATTAAATATATTGTAAGCTAGTAGAGTATAGTAGATTATATTTCTATTTTGATATGCACTTTTTCAGATATTATTTCATGTGGAGTCTGTAAATCTTTACCTAAGCCAGTCGATCAAGTTAAACCTTTACCAGCTTCAGATTTTTATGTTTCATTGTATTTAATACATATATCAAAGACATTTAACTCGTATGCTAAGGTTGAAGAAGCATATTATTCAATAAGCTAGGCTTCCAAATAGCTGGTTATTCTAATTGTGAAATTCCTAGTTGTGTATATCGGTTAAAGAAGGGGCTCATAGACAGATTGGGCATGTTATTGTAAATAAAAAAGAACCAATTACGCCAGATATTTTAAAGAAAATTGTTAATAAACATGGTAAAGAATGCAATCTTATAGAAATTAGAATTTGTTGTATGTGTCTTATAAGTTATGCAGGGTTTTTAAGATTTTCTGAAATGGTTAATCTAAAAAGATCTGATTTGAAATTTAATGATACACATGTCTCTTTGCTCATACAGAAAAGCAAAACTGATCATTATAGAGAAGGCACGCAAGCTTTAATTGCTAGAACAAATACACAAACATGCCCTGTTAGTATGTTGGAGAAATATTTATTATTTTTTATCTGATATAGATGTATCATCTTCAGATTATATATTTAGGTCCATGTATTTTTGTAAAAAATCTAGATCTTATAGATTGAGAGGTCTTAAATTAAACCTTTGTCATATACTAGAGTTAGAGAAATTATATTATCAGCTCTGGAATCTATCGGCTTAAATAAGTCTAAATTTGGATTACATAGCCTGAGATCAGGTGGAGCTACTGCAGCTGCAACAGCTGGTATTCATGATAGATTATTTATGAAGCATTGTAGATGGGCTTCAGATTAAGCAAGCAAAAGACGGCTATATAAGAGAAAATATTAAAGAAAAACTCACAGTATCTAAAAGTTTGGGAATTTAATTTTTATAAATATTATTTTTTGTTCAGATCTACTTGGCTTTCTTTGTCTTTCGAAAGGCTGCTACACCTGTAGGCACACTTATCCTATTTATGTGTTGTTTTATTTATTAAATAATTTATATTCGTTTGAGCTTGGCCAATTAGAATATAAATATATTTATTAAAGTAATTGGTCACATGACGTAGTAACGGTCAAGTGATTGTTTACTATAAACACGTGTTTGTGTTTATATCAAGCACATGGTTTGTGTTTATGTTAAATATGATTGGATGGCATATACCCGCAATGCGGCTTTTACGGGTTTATACAGCTCATGAGATTCGTAAAAAGCATGATTAAGTATTACTTAAGGGGTTCGTTTGAGAAAATAAAGTTATTCGAAGTTTGCCTATAGTTAACGTAGCAGCAGATCGTTATTATGTTTACCCGCCCACCCACCCTTTTTGAGTTTATTATTGTTAATGTGGGAATATAAATTTATCAAATTATATATTAATATGTATTTTTCCTCTTTTGTAGATAGATTTTGATTGTATATTCTATTATATGATTGGATTGAAAGTTTCTTGCCTAAATTTATAGCGAAGGACTTTAGTTTGAAGAATTTTGATTGTAATTAATATATTAAAGGCTGCTACACCTATAGGCACACTTATCATATTTATGTGTTGTTTTATTTATTAAATAGTTTTTATTCGTTTGAGCTTGGCGAATAAGAATATAAGTGCCGTTTACAAGTCATGATTATGAACTAACAATCCCCAATTGTGTCATTGATGATCCCTTAAAAGAATTTTGCGGAACTCTGAATGTGGTCATTCATAAAAATCTGTATTTCTGCACTGTTTTACATATTTTCTCTAACATTCCACTTTTTATGTGATTCTTCCCAGTTGTAATGCTTTCCTTTCGCATTCCATTACAACTCATTTCCGTTTGCTATATTCACAGTTTGCCTTTAAAATTTCTTCTCTTAAGCTTCTTATAATTTTCATTTTAAAGGTCGGTCAACATATTTTAAAACTGTATTGCATCGCTTCACAATTTTGTTGATATAATAGGGAATGGAAACAAACGGGAAATGTTTCAAAGAGACAACAACCCGACCAAAGAAACGAAAACCGCCCAAGGCAACCAATGGGTATTAACGCAGCGAGAAAATCCCTAACCCGAAGGCGGGCATCAGCTGGCCCCTGAACAATAATGTAAACTAGTTCAGCGAAATGGCCACACTAAACTCCGAACCATACAAATGAGCTAAAATAAACAAAATCACACAAGAATAACAAAGGATAGAGTTTACTGACTTGGGACAGGCGCAAAATGCGGCGGGTTAAACATGTTCTGTGAGATATCAACCCTCTCCCTATACCTCTAGCCAATGTGGAATAAATAAAACACACAGCAAAACGCAGTAAATTTCAGTTTTAAAAAAGTCCGAGTCCGATGTTAGAATATGTAACAGAAGACACTAAGTAAAACTAGTGATAAACTTAAATTAACAAAGCATTACTAGCAGTCAGCTTCAGACTTCAATAAGGGGACAACATTTAATTCTGAGGGGGGCTGGCATCTTTTAGAAATAAATATTATGGTCCCCATTTAATTGGAAATAAATGATCTTGCCTTATCACGCATGAAAATAAATATTCTGGACACAATTTTTCAAAATGTTCAAAATATGTTTGGCTCGCTCCGCCCGCCACATTTACAATGGTTTCAAATAGTTACAGATAATCCCCAAAAAGTGGAGGAGGTACACCTTTTGTGAGTTGATGAAATCTTTCCCCAAAAAAATTGACTAACTACGCTCGTCAGAAATTTTACCATTTTGGATAAATGTGGACCCTGAATTCACCCATAATTTAAATGCTATTATATGTCTATATTACTGTGACTTGACTGTAAGTGTTACTCTCCACCTATTACAGTTCATTAAAAAATTTGACCAAATTAAATTTTGTTTTACCGAACTAAACTGTTCAATTGGTCAGAAATTTTAACGATCTGCTTTAAAAAAAAAACCTACAGTCAAGTCGTGGTGAAAAAATAAAGCTATAATTAAATATATATAGATTAAATAATTATTAAATAATTGACAGTTGTTTAGACACGAAGTTGAAGGGAAATATCGATACAAAATGTATTTTCTCCCTTTGATTGATCAAATTTGTTGTGTAATGAAATAATTTAAAGGAATAATATGTTTGTCTTCAACTTTTGCTGTTTCAATTTTTTCCCTCATCTATTCTAAGATCAGCCATCAAAATAACGTACTGAATATTCAGTAACTAGAATTTCGTTGTTTTCGTTGTTTTGAGGAAAACAGTTTCTTGGATACTTATATTTGATTTCTTGGTTTTATAGTCTTATAGAAAGTTTGTACTTGTGTGAACATTAAATTCTTTGTTCAGTTTTACCGAAAAAATCTTAGAAATTGATTTCCTATGAATAATAAATTAGCGGGAGTTTCTCGCTGCATTGAAGACCCATTGGTGGCCTTCAGCTGTTGTCTGCTCTATGGTCGGGTTGTTGTCTCTTTGACACATTCCCCATTTCCATTCTCAATTTTATCCACAATTTTAACAAACACTTGAAATTAAAAACAAATCAATATTTAAGGACAATAAACAATAAAAATAAATTGTCTATGAAAAAGGGAACGAAAATATAAAGGTCAATAGAAGGATGATGATATGTTGCAAATAAAATGAATATTCAGGACGAAAACATGTGAATGTTTTATGAATATAAACCCTATCTTGTATTGGACTGACACGCTGAGCCGGATTTTGAACGTGGTAGTTCACAATGAAACAGTCCACAGGAAGACATGTCATTCTACCTAGATACATTACTCTGACTCAGAACCGACCAGTCTTTCCCCTTACATCTCAATGCCTAGTGCTTAGCAGAGGGGCAGCAAATACCTTCTTTTTTTAAATCTTTGCCTTGGCCGGCTGGGGTTCCAACCCACGATCTCCCGCTCTCGAGGTGAACACGTAACCACGATACCACCGATGTGCAGTTAGTTAAGCTAAGTCGTTATAACGAGTTACTAAGTCGTTATACCTAGTTACTTAGTCGTTATAACGAGTATGCTAAGTCCTCATAACGAGTATGCTAAGTCGTTATAACAAGTTAGCTAAGTCGTTATAACGAGTTAGGTAAGTTGTTATAACGAGTAACTAAGTCGTTATAATGAGTTAGCTAAGTCGTTTTAACGAGTTCGCTAAGTCGTTCTAACGAGTTAGCTAACTCTAGCTAAGTCGTTATAACGAGTAAGCTAAGTTGTTTCAACGAGTTAGCTAAGTCGTTATAACGAGCTAGCTTAGTTGTTTTAACGAGTTAGTTAAGTCGTTATAACGAGCTAGTTGAGCTAAGTCATTATAACGAGTTACTTAGTCGTTATAACGAGTTGGCTATGTCGTTTTAACGAGTTAGCTAAGTCGTTATAACAAGTTAGCTAAGTCGTTATAACGAGTTTACGACTTAAAAGTAAAACTGCACCATTGTCTTAACTTTGCGAGATGTCGTCCCTATGGAATGCTGGATAATTCCTGTCACAATATGTTAATTACCAGTAATATTGGTTACAAAGTCTTATCATATACCTTCGTAATTCTCACTCGATAATTATATCATATTTGAATCGAACTTCCTTTTAAAGCAATATTTCATTAACTTCAAGAATAAAGACAAAATAATGTCAGCTTTAATAAGAAACACCTTGAATTTAAAAGAAACTTAATGTGGTTTAAAAAATTATGCAAACTTACCTGTAAACTACCATTGCAGAAATGTAGAAACAGTAATGTCATGCGCGTAAAAGAAAACGTGACTACTGTGTTGGACATGAAGGTAAAAGTTATTTCCTTTTTTTAATATTTATTAAGGTTTATCTATACGTTGCCCATCCGAATTAATATTGTCTAATTGTTTCTATATCAATTCTGTCTTCTGCAATTAGTGAGGTTTATCGTGATAGTTGTTTGAATATATTACTTTTTTTGCTCTCAACTGAAATTTAAATGGTTTATTTACAAACATATCGATTTGATAAACTGAGTGAAATTATTACACAAGGAAGATTATATATAGTTATGATTTCCGCATTGAAATTATGTACAAATTTACTATAAGCATTTCACAAGGTTATGTCTTTCTGAGCTGTATCTACTCTAAAGTACGATATAGAACGTAGGACGGCATGACAGGCTGTTTACTATCGTCCTTCTCGTCGCCTATATCACCCTGTTAATGCGCTCCGCTTCAAGACGTGAGCTGAATTTATCAGCGACCTCGCAATGTCTGAGGAGAATGTATCAGCGATGTCGCAATTTGTGAAGAGATGTATTTAAGTTTTCGTTGAGCGTAAAACTGTCTTTTGAAGGGCATAAGGGAGCAACTATTTAACTTCCAGAGAGGGGTTATGGTTTTTTGTCTGAGTCAGAACTTTTTTTTAGTTTTTCGACGCTATCAATCAAATTATTTTTTTCAAAATATAACACTATAAGGTATGGGGAAAATCTGGATTCAGAATATTTTTTTAGTCATCTGCTTGACCACAATATTTTTTTTCAATTAGGGATCAGAATATTTTTTTAGGAAAAAAACCAAACCCACCCCCCCTCCCCCTTTGAAATTAAATGGTCGTTCCCTAAAGACTGAAAACGGAACGAATAACAGATTATCGCATTTTCTGCGCATTTATATAGTACAATGTTAGCCGCTCGACACAATTATAAAGCATTTCAGCCATAACTATCTTAGAAACAAGAATCTTGTTTGCTCGTTTCACTGTCTTCATTTTATTTTTTTGACAGTTTGCTTGAGTGCAGTTTATCTTAGATGTCAGAATTATGTATGCAATTTACATCTCGTAAGTTTATGACTAGACTGATAGTAATATTTTTAAAAAGAAAAAGTCTTCTATGTTGATTAAAAATTCATAATTCGGGCAGTTTAATTTTGAGTGCTTAAAATGATACAGTTGATCTAATTATGTGTATGCCGAAAGTTTTCCGTTATTGACTTAAGTAGACCAGCTTATTGACTGCTAAATCAGTATATACTGCAGCTGTGCTATTTGCGCAGTCAAATTGCATTGACCGTATATTCATTAGTGATATAGTCACTGATCGTATAACGCCTTGTTTATGACGTTGACAATGCATTTCCGTAGAGTTTTATCTATGACGTCAATAAACAATACAGGTTCGCGGAAATTTTACGTCGTCCGCTCCAAATTAAAAAATGATGATTTTTACCCTAAATATTTCATTTGAAACAGTTATAGGAGTTGCAGTATATAAAGAATAACCATAAATTGTCTCGAAATATAAATTTTATTTGTATTCGGCTCAAAACAGGATAGAAATGCTCAGCAAAGCCTCGCTTTCTACCTATTTCTAAGCCTTGTACAAATAAAATTTATATTTCGAGACAATGTATGGTTATTCTATATATACATGAATATATACTTGGCATTAGAAATTTTCTTAAAATTATATACTTAGACTTCAAAATAAGGTTGATTGACTTGGTAAAGGGCATTTAGGCCCATATTGTCTTATAGTTTTAATCAGTTACTTTGAATTATTATCTTTACTTTACCCGAACATAATATATTAAGCCAAAGGTGTTAAAAATAAGATAATAGACAAAGAAGCCGAGAAGCCATGACGATAAACTGAAATGTGTTTATTTATAAAATGTCTTGACTTTTTGTTTTTATTATATGTTGAGTTTTTTTGTTTATTTGAAAAGTATATTTGCATCCAGGAAATACGTTTTTTTCATTTATGATATTATGTTAAATTCCATGAGGAAGTTTTCTTAAATAGTTTGTCGCTTGAACGAAAAATAACATTAACAGAAATAACCATCCTCCTTCCTTTTCTTGATCGCATTGAAAATCTTGGTTAATTCATATATATTTCTTAAGTTAATTTGCAAATTTGAAGTAGTTTCTATTCCTTCAGCCAACAATCCGAGCCTAAATATCCATATAATTTTTCGTAAAATCTAAACTGGTGACGTGTTTTAGAATATTATCATCAGAAATTAATTAATATTTCAACAAACAATTAAAGAGCTGATAAATTGGAAACTTATTACCAGTTTCTTGTCGCAACGTTTCAGATTTTTGCATTTACATAAATTATTTACATAAATTCTATTTACATCTGAGTAATGAAATCGCTTAAATGTCATTACGAATGAGAACGAGGTCTCAAATATATTTAAATTAATAATTCATACAATTGTGTTACGACAATCTAATTAAAATGTATAACTCTGATTTCGTTATCTCCATAAGAGATCTAACACCGATGCGTTTTAGAATATAGTTTCAGTATCGCGTTAATTATCTGAATGATAGACCAAACCATAAAAATAAATGTCGTCTATTGAACCATGAAAAAAGGTCAAGGTCAGATGAAAACTGCCAGTGTCGGACATGTTCACCTTACAATCATTCTATACACCAAATTAGAGGCCCTATTGCTTTAGTATCTGAGAAATAGACAAAACCACAAAAACTAAACATTGTCCATAGAAATACGAAAAAGAGGTCAAGGTCAGATGAAAACTGCCAGTCAGACATGCACACCTGACAATCATTCCATACACCAACTATAGTGGACGTATTACTTATAGTATCTGAGATACACACTTGACCATAATAAGTGAGAATTTCACATGAGAAAGAGCATACTTTTATTGAGATAACGAAATCAGTGTTCTATATATTAATTAGATTGGTGTTACGATGAAAGCTCTATAAGCATTCTGTATGATATAAATCTACACACACGACTTTCATACCATCTTTGTCAACACACAACTGTTCTATTTATTCAATACCGATGTGTCTTTTAACAGGTCGGGAACTCTAGATTTCCTGACGTCAGAATATATTTGCATAGTAATTTCCCAAATCAACAGATATTTGACACACTCTAAGTCTTCTCCTTTTTCACGAACCCAAAATTCAAGGATCCCTTATTTTTTTTAATTATCTGAATGAAAGTTGTTCTTATGGGTAATTGTGTTTTTCGCTGTTGTTTCGTTGCTGTCTTGTGGACGAATACCTGAAATCTCCGTGCAATCATCAATCATATTAATGGCTATATTTCGGGTAATTCAAACACTCATTTCTTCGTATAGCAACAACTCTTCGTTAATCTGAGCATGGAACGAATACTTTATATCACGGATTTTAAATGTGAATACAAAAAAAATGAAAAACTAAGCGAAATTGTTAATCCCACAATGCATGAAAAAATGTGTTGTATTTCAGTATATAACACGTGTTCTCGGTTGATTGTAAACACGTAGTAGTCCATCATGCATTGTTACTCATTTAGTGGATTGGTCAAAAACCCAGGTAAAAAAATTGCGTCATACGTAAATAAACAATTACATGTGCGAGGACATAAGTATGCTAATTTATGCATATCCATATAAGGTAGTGTTCCCGACCTGTTTAAACATTTGAGTTTTATAAATGTTTCGGTTCGACGTAATACTATGTTTAACTGGCAAACTGTGCCATGATCCCAAATTATTAAATGAAACGACTTTGTGACTCGAATTATTAATGCAATTATGAAATTCTTTGCAATTTATGATCCATTTAGAAATTATGAAATTCCTTGCAGGTTATGGTTCATTTTGAATTTATGACATTCCTTGTCGGTTAAGACCCATTTAGAAATGATCAAAAGAAATAAGAGGTAAAAAAGAAAGAGTAAAAGTACTGTCTTACTGGAAATGAACAAAAGGTTTCCCTCTTACATGTACTACCTTTTTCAAATTGGTCATGAATAGATCACATTTTTTGAAAGACAGATACTTATAGGAAGGGAAATTATAGTGGGATTTAATTTCAATTCTGTTCCATCTTCTGGTTTGGTCTTTCATTAGAAGTAACTGTTGCAGATGTACTGTATGTAACAGTTCAACATTTTATTTTTTTAAAACTAGGAGCTTATATCTTAATTTAGGGACCAAAGGGAGTCATTTCTTTAATTAAATATGGCGATCATTTAAAGATGACGAGTGTATTTTAAACAGTATTTAGTCTGGAAAACACGATTGTGTCTTTAGTCCTTTTTTAATAGCTTGGTGTCGATCTGAGGAGTCAAGCCTTTTTAACAGATTTTAACGGTTTCTCGTCATGGCTTCTCGGCGTATAGACAGTTTGTTTATTATGTTGAGCTGTTATACCACTGTCCAGTTAGAACAAGGTCGGGTGCTTGCAAACATGTTTAACCACGCAACAGTATGTTTGTGCTAGTCCAAAGTCATACGTCTGTAATTCTGTGGTTGTCATTTGTCGCTGTCTATCATATTTTGGGGGTTTTTTTTTTTTTTTTTTTTTTATTGTATTGTACGTATATGATGTCGTTTTTTTTTTTAAATTGATTTTCAGTTTGTCAATTCGGGGCCTTTCATATCTTACTTTTCATATAGATTTTGGTCATTGTTGAAGACCGTATGGTCACATTAAGTCTATATCAATTTAGTCTCTGATGGATAGTTATCTCATTGGTAATCATATCAAATCTTCATATTTATATCATAAGGGCAAGCATGGATTTTTGGCGACTTTTGTCAATTTTAAGTGATATTCGTAGTTTTATTATTCATTTTCTTCAATTTTCAACCATTTATTCGTCCGAACATTTTAGGATATTGACTTGCTATTTGTTATGGTGTTAGCTATATATTTTTAGTTTTTATAATATATTTAAACCATCGTTCCTTTGCAATGAAGTTTAAGATCTGTTACGCAGTAAACAATCCCTTAAGAATACTGATGCATTATTAATTAAAAGCAGTACTTAATGTATGCTTGTGTGTAAATACATGTTAGGGATAATTTTCTATTTGCACATGCATCATAATTATTCTCAAAAAGATTCCACTTGAAAAGTTAAATTTAAACGAAGTTAAAATAGCTTTATGACAGGTTGCATTATTGAGTCCCGACTTTTCAATAATGTAAAGTTCAAGATATGATAAATAGTGCAGAGAGAATACTTAGTCTAGATACATTATTCTATAATTAGTTATTGGCTTTGAACTAGCTTTGTGTATCTGCAAATGCTCTCAAATCTGTACTTTGTGTCTTTTTTGTTGTTGTTAGGGATGTATAAATACCCTGCCACGTCGGGTCTGTGTTTTTGTCAGTTGATTTTTCTGCTGTTTATCGATTAGATGAGTTAAGTCCTTTTCAACTTATATATAGTTTGTTCTTATGTTGTGCTGTTACATTACTGCCCCAGGTTAGTGGGAGGGTTGAGCGCTCACAAACATGTTTAACCCAGCTACATTCTTTATGTGCGTGTCCCAAGTCAGGAGTCTGTAATTCAGTGGTTGTCGTTGGTTATATTCTGTCATGTTTGTTTTTCGTAAATTGTTTTGTTATGAATTATATCGTTAGTTTTCGCAATTGAATTTGTTTCATATTTTTCATGCCGGGGCCTTTTATAGACGACTACGGGTATCAGTTGTTCTCGTTGTTGAAGGCCGTACGGTTGCGCATAATTACTTACATCTTTTTCATTTGAACTTTAAATGATATTTGTCTCGAGCTCATTGGCATTCATACCACATCTCCTTATTTTCATTTTTATTATGATACTAAAGATATCATAAACATATTGATGGGGACATGATAATTCAATGATCAAACTAAACTACGTCTGTATTCGCTAAACTTGAAACGCTTAATACCGGTATTCACGCTGTCCAACAACCTTTGCACATGGTCATATGGTTTAATACACTGCAGTACGGACTAAGGCATCGTAATTGTATTATGACGCTTAAAATGTGGTCTTTTCTAAAAAAAAAAACGGACAAGGAAGA